GCCGCCATACTGTCCGTCCTGACCAGCACGTGTTGCCGCTCCAGCACCGGTAAAAAGCGGTGGAGAGCGAGGAACACTGCCAACAGCTCTAGGCGATTGATATGCCAATGCAGCTAGGCACCCTTCCACAGGCCCGCAGCTGCATGCCCGCGACACACGGCCCCCCAACCCGTGTTGGAAGCGTCTGTTGAAACAACAACATGGCTGGACGCCTGTCCTAGAGGCACACCGGCCTGTAGGAACGAGGGGTCGTTCCAAGGGCTGAGGGCGCGGCGACACAGCGCAGTAATCGAGACCCGGTGTGTGCCCGCGTGCCATGCGCGTCTGGGGACCCGATCGTGAAGCCAGTGCTGAAGTGGTCTCATATGGAGCAACCCGAGCGGCGTGACGGCGGCTGCGGATGCCACATGCCCCAGGAGCCTCTGAAAGAACTTCAGTGGGACCACTAGTTTGCTGTCGAGCTCCCTCAGACAGTTCAGCAACAGGCGAGCGCGTTCCTCGGAGAGGTGCGCTACCATGGTGATCGAGTCCAGCTCCATCCTGAGAAAAGAAATCCTCTGCACGAGGGCGAGTTTGCTCTTTTTTCGGTTGACCTGAAGCCCCAGTAGGCGGAGATGCCGAAGCACCTTGTCCCTGTGCATAATCAATTGCCCCCGCGAGTGGGCTAAAATCAGCCAGTCGTCGAGATAATTGAGTATGCGAATGCCCGCGAGCCGAAGGGGCGCTAGGGCACCCTCCCCGAGTTTGGTGAAGACCCGCGGAGACAGAGAGAGCCCGAAGGGGAGGACCTTGTACTGCCACGCTCGACCCTCGAACGCAAACCGCAGAAATTGGCGGTGGCGTGGAAGAATGGAGACATGGAAATACGCGTCCTTCAGGTCTATGGCTGCAAACCAATCCTGAGGACGAACGCATTGGAGAATGCGCCTCTGCGTGAGCATTCTGAACGGCAGCCTGTGCAGACAGCGGTTCAAAACGCGCAGATCTAGGATTGGCCGTGACCCACCGCTCTTTTTGGGTACGATGAAGTATGGGCTGTAAAACCCACTCTCCATCTCGGCTGGAGGAACCGGCTCGATTGCACCCTTCGCCAGGAGGGCAGCAATCTCCTCTCGCAAGACAGGGGCGGACAGGGGGTTGACCCTGGAGAAATACACGCCCGTAAACTTGGGGGGCCGTTTCGCGAACTGAATCGCGTAACCGAGTCTGATTGTGCGTATGAGCCACCGCGAGGGGCTGGCCTGCGCTAACCAGGCAGGCAGAGCCCTCGCTAATGGAGTCATCGCTACAATCGCTGACGTACCAGCGGTGGGGCAGCGCGGAGTGGGTGTGCTGATCCGGGAAGCACGAGGGTCCCGCGGAAGAGCTGGAGGAGAGCGATTCGCTCTGGCTCCGCACCCTGACTCCGGAGAGGGGGCTGGAGGGCTGAGGGAAGGGAGACCGTCCCCCCAGCGCTTGTGAGCCACTGGCGAAGCACATAGAGTCTGCGAGCCGGAAGGCAGCGCGTCCCGGACTGGCAGAACTCGTGCAGTCACATCCGGGGAAGGGAAAAAGTGCTCTTTTACTGATGTTTTGGTGGCACTGAAAAGTACCGTTGTTATCGGGGCCTCGCCCTCCAGCGGGGAAAGAGCAAGTTTCCCCTTCTCCGGATGGCCTGTCTCAGGGACGCTTCGCGGTCCGTTTACCGGACTTAACGGCGCCCTGGGCAGGAGGGGCTGCCTGCTTTCGAGGTGTACGCCGCGCCCGCTTGGCCGGAGGCGCAGGCGGGGGCGGGGCAGCACTCGTTGGCGGGCGCCCTCGGCGAGGAACAGCAGAGGTGGATGGCTCAGCGGGCGGAGCGGGCTTACGGCCACGCCGATAGATGACATTGCCCATCGCATCCGACTGCTCTTTCACTGCCTTGAATTCCTGGGTGAATTCACCGACGGTGTCGCCGAACAGGCCAGCCTGGGATATGGGCGAGTCAAGAAAGCGAACTTTGTCAACATCGCGCATATCGGCCAGGTTTAGCCAGAGGTGGCGTTAGTAGTCCGAAGAGCATAGTCGGTCGCGGTGCGCAGCTCATGTAATAAGCTTGGGTTGGACCCGCCCTCGTGCAGCTCGGCCAGCGCCTGCGCTTGGTAGCGCTGGTAGGTGGCCATCGCGTGCAAAGCAGAAGCAGCCTGGCCTGCAGCCTTATAAGCTCTGGCTCCGAGGGAGGCAGACAACCTACAGGCTTTGGACGGGAGGCGGGGCAAACCCCGCCACGTAGAGGCGCCATGCGGACAAAGATTGACCGCGATAGCGCGCTCCACTGACGGGATCGCCTCATACCCCCTGGCAGCTCCGCCGTCAAGGGCGGTGAGGGCGGAGGCACACGCAGAAAGCCTACTGTGCACTTCCGGGAAGAAGGGGACGAGAGGCTTCGAAGGCTTCGCCTTCTGGTCCTCTACGTAGCACCCATCTAGTCGGTCCGGCCGCGGAGCTGGGGGATAAACCATCTCCAACCCCACGGCCGAAGCAGCCCGGGAAAGCACGGCTAACATGTCCGCTTCAGGATCCGATTTGACAGCGCTCACCTGCCCGGAGGGGGCGAGCGGGTCCGGATCTTCGTCGGACAGTGAAAGCCCACCCTCCGATGCCGCGGAGGACATCTGATCTCCGGTGTCAGCGAGTGTGAGAGCTACCATCTGGTTAGACGGATCACTCCCACTACCCGAAGCTTGGATGGAGCGCCGTGAGGAGCGAGAGGTCCACGAGCCCGTGGGCGGCGGATTATCTCCCGCTGAAACCCTCAGATCTGCCCGAGCGCCCGCTGCTTTTTTAGAACAGGAGGCAACTGGGGTGGCTCGCTCTCTTGCAAAAGTTAGCCGCGATCTTAGCTGTGCAACAGTCATGGCATCGCAATGACGACATGAACCGCCCGCGAGCACCGCATTAACATGCTGGACCCCCAAACATGCAATGCAGTGATCGTGTCCATCATCCGGAGCCAGGAAACCCCCGCATCCAGAAACGCACAGTCGGAGCGCCATCCTGAAAAGGACGTGCTGCACGACTGTGTTGCTCTTTTAGGAAAGTTTGCAACAATACGCACCGCTCTGGAGGACCGGACCCAAAGAACCGCAGGCAAGGGAGAAACCCAGCTCGACCGTCTGCCACCGCGAAGACCCACTCTGGACCGGGAGACACACTTGTTTGCTCTGAAGTGCTGATCAGCAAGAGGAACCCTCATCGACTCACTCAGAAAGGATCTGAAGCGAAAAGGATGGCGTCTGCTGGCTTCAGGTGTGCTTATATGCTGAGATAATTGCAGATGCCGCACACCTGCGCAAGCTTACGCTGCCAATTAATTTCATTTATTGGCCCGTTCAATACTCTCCAGACAAGCGGCTTCTGATCCGAATCCTCCCATTTCATGGCACTGAAGTTCCCCAACCGAAGGGGAACAACCATTTCCTATGGAAGTTTTTTCCTAACAAAATTAAAATGAAAATTCAAATGCTTAAAAGATCAAATGATAAATCAAATGCTCAAACTATAAATCAAATACTCAAACCGACATTGCAAATGATAAATCAAATCCTCAAACCGACTCTGCAAATTATAAATCAAATGCTCAAACGGACTTTGCAAATGGTGAATCAAATCCTCAAACCGACTCCTCAAATGATAAATCAAATCCTCAAACTGACATCGCAAATGATAAATCAAATCCTCAAACTGACATCGCAAATGGTGAATCAAATGCTCAAACTATAAATCAAATCCTTAAAACGACATCGCAAATGGTGAATCAAATGCTCAAACAACTCTGCAAATGGTGAATCAAATCCTTAAACGACTCCGCAAATGGTAAATCAAATGCTTAAACTGACATCGCATATGGAGAATCAAATCCTCAAACTGACATCGCAAATGATAAATCAAATGCAAATGAGGTGTCAATCAACCAGCATAGGCGGAGCTTTAAGGCGGAAGAGTTTGTTGTTGACAACTACCGGTAGCGCTACGACTTTTTCAAGGCGTTCAGATTTGCGTGCACTAATCCACGTCGTATCCGTATAAACTCGTGAAAGAGAAAGCGAGAAATCTCCTACTGATTCTGTCCACATTCTGAAGTGTTCATCAGATGGGTACATCTCTCACAGGAGGCCACGAAAAACCATACGGCAAGATGATAAAAAAAAAAGTTACATAACTGACGTTACAAGCGCAACTTTAAATAAATGGCAGGTTTAATAAATCTTAATTTAAATTAATATTTTATTACATAAGATATCCTTGTCAAATTTCACCTAATTTGTTGTTACCTTTATTGTGTAACATTTTTCATTTACTTGTAGAACATGCTTAAAGTTAGTTTTCCAGTCTTGTTTGATTATATAATCATATATTCTTCAAAAGAAAATCTATTACATTTGTTCTCTTTTTGCTGTTTATGTTAATTGTTAAGATACAGCAATGTTTCCCTAAGCCTGTATGAAATTTTTATTTCTGCATAATAATGATTAATAATAATTGTTATTGATAACAATCCCATAATAATACAAATAAAATAGCAGGGACAGAAGCAATAACACCTAATACCATCAGTAACTTGATAACCCTACCTGATAGCCTTTCTAATGTTGGCACATTGGTACATCTGCACAAAGATGTTGGACAGCTGCTTGAAAATCTTGCTTTAGAGAAATTTTACACTCGAAAAATGTGAGTGTTTACTCTAGACTGCAAAGCCCACCCCAACACTTACAAAAATAATAAATGCTGTTCACACACACACACACACACACACACACACACGCACACGCACACACACACCACAGCTATGCATGAATAGTCACTAGACAAATGTAGCCAAGGTGAGTACATCTTAATTTTCAGTCAAAAATGAAATAATGTAGTTATACATTATTGAAATTATTAATGTATTAATCAACAATTAAAAAAAATATGAATGTATGATTAAAAGAATGAATAATGGTAACCATGATAAATAAATACAAGTCAACAAGATACAAAACTAAGCTTTATTCAAACTTATTCAAACAATCATGTATTTCAGACAAAACCCCATGTTCTGCTGCATGCTGGACTTCAATTGTTTTTGCCATCACATCCCTCAGTGCTGCAGTCAGACTGGAACAGAGTTGTGAGGTAAGGCTGTCCATGCCTGAGAAACCGATTCATACTAAAGATGAAGAGACCACACCAACATCTGGCTCAGATAAGGACACCCAGGCAGGTGGAGGGATGCAGGGTCTTGTCCACGGCACTACAGCATCTTCAACATTTCCTTCATCAGCACACTGCTGTTCTTTATCATCATCACTGCACACACCAGTCTGAGGACATTTCAGATTATGCAAAGCTTTTAATAAAGAAGTCATTTAACAGCACACTTTTTGAAGTTTCATTTGAGTTCTGAATTGGAAGTAATAACATGATCTTACTTCATGTTTTGAATTCAGGTTTTCTCTGTTTTCTTGCCTTGCAAGTCCTGCTCCAGCCCAGAAATGGCATATAAATCAACATTAAAGAAATTGTTGTTATAGCGGTTTCAAATTACAATATTTTGTTAAACAAATATGATGATAGCATTTGTTCAGTCACTCTGCATCAGCTAACACACAAACATGTGTGCTTCCTTCTCTATAACAACCAGACAAGTCACGTTACCTCTGTGATTTGTGTGCTCAAAATTATACTTTCATAAATGTATCACCAAAAGAACAGAAGAAAACATTACTGTATTAATATTACATGTATCTCACCTAAGCTGTATTGACAAAAGTGCATTCTACATCAGCATAAACAAATCACTCAGACGTCTGTTTAATGTTATAATTTGCTAATCTGCAATACCTCCTTTTTTCTGTCAGACATTGAATAATCGTCTTTATGTAAATTAACGTTTGAAACGTAACGTCATGTGCTTACAGAAGTTCCTACATGATAATTCACAGCAAAATAAAATAAATATACTGTAAAGCATCTTTACACTTTCAGTAATTCTACAGTTCACTGTACAGTAGCTCAACTATTGCTATTTTACTGTAACTTAACTCAAGGAACCGTCTTTCTGGATTTAATTACTTACATGTAAGATGTCTAAATCATTCAGTTTTCCACAATGTGACGTAGCATCATCATCTTGCCGTATGGTTTGTCGTGGCCTCCTGTGAGAGATGTACCCATCTGATGAACACTTCAGAATGTGGACAGAATTAGTAGGAGATTTTTTGCTTTCTCTTTCACGAGTTTATACGGATACGACGTGGATTAGAGCACGCAAATCGGAACGCCTTGAAAAAGTCGTAGCGCTACCGGTAGTTGTCAACAACAAACTCTTCCGCCTTAAAGCTCTGCCTATGCTGGTTGATTGACACCTCATTGATTTATCATTTGCGATGTCAGTTTGAGGATTTGATTCCCCATTTGCGATGTCAGTTTGAGCTTTTGATTCACCATTTGCGGAGTCGTTTAAGGATTTGATTCACCATTTGCAGAGTTGTTTGAGCATTTGATTCACCATTTGCAATGTTGGTTTAAGGATTTGATTTATAGTTTGAGCATTTGATTCACCATTTGCGATGTCAGTTTGAGGATTTGATTTATCATTTGCGTTGTCAGTTTGAGGATTTGATTTATCATTTGAGGAGTCGGTTTGAGGATTTGATTTATCTTTTGCAATGTCGGTTTGAGCATTTGATTTATAGTTTGAGCATTTGATTTATTATTTGATCTTTTAAGCATTTGAATTTTCATTTTAATTTTGTTAGGAAAAAACTTCCATAGATGAATGTGATGAGAGTGAGAGTAGCTGCAAGACAAAGCAAATAACAGTATTGTAAATAACTATACATAAGCATTTCCACATGTACAAAATACTATAATAATTTGTATTAAATACTGTTTTGAATCATATTGCAAAGTGCATTATATTTTAAAACTTGTAATACAAGACTTTGATAATGAATACTACTGCATACTGTAGTATTTACTTTAGTGGGAAAAAAAGTACCGTGGTATACAAGCTTTTACCACAGTAACTTTGGTTTATATAATATACCCTAGTTAAAACGTGGTAAAGTATTGAGTAATTGGTTTACATTACTGCAGCTGTTTTGTTACCATAGCAACTCAAGAATCAACAAAACCGTTCGCTAGTATTTACTATAAATTACTATAGTATTTTACGTGGGTATATGTCACAAGGTACAAACGCATACAATTACAGACGCACAGATGACTGATGACATCCAGCAAACAATAACATTATTATCTTATTGATAAATTACTGCTAATGCACTTATATAGAACATTCAGGAGCCGTGTTACAGTGTACTTACCAAGAAGTGGCATATGCAAACTGCAGTAAATATCGCGATGGTTTGCAAACGAGAAGAAAAAAACCCATGAGATGGCGCTTGATTAAATTGTACGAATTAGTACGAATTTACAGGTGATCTAAAGGCGGTAAAAAAAATCGTACGAATTCGTACGACCCAGCTCGTACGAATTCGTAAGATTTCGCTGTGAGATAGGGTTTTCAAATACCTCAAGTAAAGTGAAGTAATTTGCTTTATTTTTTTTACTGACAGTGTACTTGTATTTCTTTGAAAAGTTTGTATTTTAGTTTAAGATCAAGTGTAAAATAAAATCTACATGTGATGTACAGCTATTTAAGAAACATATTTGCCATATTGTAAAGAAAAATAGTGTAAAATATGTGAATAAAAGACTAAATTTAAATCTTTTCATCATATTTAATTAAACCCTTCAAAGCTTGAAAATATTGTTTAAAAATGGGCAAAAAGTGTCTCTATGGCCTTAAAGCTTATGTGGTAGTTTTACATGCTATTAAAAAATATTAATTGTTATGAAAGGAAAAATTGACCATTTGTTAGTGCAAATTCCTACACATGTAGCTTTGGGATTTAAGCAATTAAACCATTCAATTAAGTTTACACAAAAAAAAGTGATTTCATAATAAAAATCAATTTTTTTTTTCAAAAGTAACCAACTAGTACTTTTTAAAAGAGTATTTTGTACGTTTATCTAATATTAGTTTTATTTACTAAAATTTGTGTTATTTTAGCAGTGTAATAGTATTTTTACTTGAGTACAAAAAAGATTTCACAAGGATTTAGTGCAGGTTTATTATATTATTAATATATGATTAATAAATATTAATATTATTATTATTAATGTTTTTTATTTGTATCAATTCCTATGCAATGTTTTATGGGTTGCTGAGAATACATTTCAGGTCTTCAATACATAGCATGTCAGTCTTGAAAATAAAAAATAGGTGCTGGAAAAAGTTCTTAAAATTCCTTGATTTTTATCAGGCTGTGCCTGTATGAACCCTATCATAAGTATATTTAACATATATTTCAAGATTTGTCAGAAAATGTATGAATATGACATATAGCCTATATTTATGAGGTCCAAGCAAATTTCCAGCTTTTGATAAATAGGCTACTATGAATACTTTAGATTTAAGAACAGCGGTTTTCTTTTTACTTTTTAAGAACAGTGCCATTTTTTTAATGCACTTTTAAACTAACTAACTTTTAAAAGCACTTTTTTTTACCTACAAGCACAGTTAATGTTAAGACTATATAAAATGTTTAAAGTGATTGAGAATAATACAATTTTTTAATAATAGGAATTAATCTGCCTCGTTTTTAAACTGTGCACATCAGTTGTAGCTGCTTACTTAGGCCTACAACGCTATTTTTTAATACTGGTCATTATGGTGGTACTTGGAGAGAGAATTTTTTTCTAAGGTGGTACTTGGTGAAAAAAGTCTGAGAACCACTGAACTAAAGAAATCTCCACTGTGCTGAGCGAGAGCGCTTCTAACTGAACAGCGCATCATCAATGACGCAAGTGTACGGCGCGAATGCAATGTGAGTGCAGGATGTCGGAGGAGGCAGAAGGGGGGACAAGCATGCTTTGGCCCGGTTCAAGGCAACTGTACATAGTGTGAGTATGTCCTAAGTTTTCGTTGGTGCACTGCTGCATCTTTCTAGTCACCAAAAAACATCATTATTACCTTTATTTCTGCAATTAAGGCATTGTTTTGTAGAGTGAGAAGTTATTGCATTTCTGCGTAGATTAGTTACAGAAAGAATACCTTCATGATGAAATGTTTTAGCGACTCCCTGTCAACATATAATTGCAACACATTTTTTTTGTTCTTGAAAGATGCATGGTCTCCTCCTCTCTGCTGCCATCTTGTTACTCTTAACTAGGTTAAGATTCATCCCAAACACTCTTAAATAATTTAGAACTGAGACCAAGTCTTAACACTTAAAAACCTTTATAAATTGCACTTAATCTTAAGTCTAGAAATACAAGTAAAATGAAGTCATTCTTAGAATTTATACACACGTAAGAGTAAAGTTCTACTCTGCGAAGCTTTATACATACAGCCCCAGGAGTTTCACTCATTACTGAGCTCGGATTATTGTTCTGTCAATTAGACAAAAGATCTTCATGATATTCCTGTTATTCATTTAAAATCAATATGATGTAGGTCAGAGTCTGCTTTAGTTGGGCTCTTCAACTGCAAATTAACACTATGAGCATTGATGAATACATTGGAGATTTAGCCCTTAATTAACATTGTGTGATCAATGTTAAAACGTAAAATCACAAAGACATCAACAATGGTGACAAAAAACAAAAAACAAAATCAAATAAAAAAACAACCCAGAACTATACAGAGCTCTCTACTGAAATATTACCTCCCAAAAACAACATAATATAAAGGCAGAGAAAAAGATTGTAAGAACTTTAAGCTGCATAATTTATTCATGCTGCAATGCATGCTGGGAGTTTTTGTACTATGCTAGCACCCAGTATGCATTGCAGAAGGTAGGAATTTTGCAGCTTTTTTTTTTAGCAACCATGGTTGAGGTTCATATCCTGATTCTTGATGTCTTGATGCGTGTCTTACGGAGTTGCTGAAGATCTCAAGGTTTTGTGTATGACAATCTAATTCTTGATTTTATAGATTTATATCCTATTATTTTCCATCAACCCTTAATTTAAAATATGCAGTATTGTCCTAAACAGCACTGATAAAAATGTGCAATTCTTTGATTCATATTTTATAAACCTTAAGATATTAAATACTTGAAATTATATCTGTATCAATTTTGTCAGTATATGTTCACAATGTATTGTCTGCTATAACAAATGAGTTTCAGTAGCAGATAAAATAGTCAGAGAAACATTAATATAGAAGAGTAAAGGATCAATAGCCCAACTAAAGCAGACTCTGATCTCCATGATGGTGAGGTCAAAAATCAAAAAAAGAAAAAATGTTAAAAAAATATAAACCTCTGTTAATTATCAAATAATCCTGCAGATATGATAGAAATGTGTTCAAACTGTTATCAGTAAAGCTGCTAATGCTGTTATTTAATGGCGGTGTTTAATCCTCTGTTTTAATTCAGTTGGTCTGGTGTGAGGCGGTGTTTGTATGTGTTAATGTCTTGTTCTTTCCTTCAGTGATTGAGCTTGTCTACAGCATCTGTTCACCTATATGGGGCGTCTGCAGACTTGGATCCAGGCAGTTTTACGACCAAGGCAGTTTTACGCCCCACAGCCTTACGCCCCTGTTGTTCCTAATGCATTCAGTAGGGGGGATGAAAGATACATGACCACATAATAGGCTACATTTGAAGTCAACGCTCTCAGATTATTAAATGTCCTGTTAATAAGTATATATAATTTTAATTAAATTACGCTAAATATGAACGCTAGATTAATGTATCATAAAGTGAGTTATAAACTCACTATAAAATATGCAGAATTGATACACTCGCTAAATAATTCCAGATTTGCAAAAGCTCTATTGCAAATTAATTTAGATTCATTTAATAAAAAAAATTTAAAAACACATGTTGTTGGATACTGTAATGGTTAATTGTAACCTAGCTATACGTTTTCATATAGAGATATGCATCTGTTGTATTGTTTATAGATAAATTTGCATTTTGAAAATACCAAAATGATAACCAAACAATACAGTGTAATATGAAGTAATAATGTGCTTTGATAAGAATGCAGAGGTATTGTTACAATAAAAATGATGAAAAAATAAGGGATA